AATCTAAGAAAGAATTGACAGAAAAAAAAGAAAAAAAACAAACTAAATATCAAAAATTCGTTCAGGATAATTTTCAAAATATGAGAGAAAAATATGAAACCAACGGTGAAACTTTGAAAGCTATTGCTGAAATGTGGAAAACTAGTTCAGAAAATCCAAAAAATGGATCGGGTTTTATTGAAAATATAAATTAACAAAAAATAAATAGCCCAGAATGATAGATTTTTGCGAACAATATAATAGTAGATTAAAACTCGATTTGAACATTAAATTCTTTGATTAGTCAACACAAAATATTACAAAACATAATTTTTTTATTTATATAAACATCAAAAAAAAACAGCAAAAAAAGTAAAAACAACAATGGAAAGGAAATTGCTACAACTTCTCAGGTAATTTTATTGTTAATTAAACAATTTCGATATTACATTCACATAAATTGAATGGATAACTATTCTTAAATCTGATATTTGCTAATTTAGCTTCTAGATAAAATAATTCGAGCAAATATTCTTTACTAGTTTCTTCGATAATATTATTGTCTTTATCAAGAATAAACTTATGTTGCTTCAAAAAGTCTCGATGCTTTCTGTCAAGAAGAATATTTTGTTTATTGCTCAATTTGATTTGAGTATATTCAATTATGTGTCCATCGTTATCAGGATATCTAATTGGTCTTCGGTAATTTGTTTTTTCGTTCTCTCTGAACCATGTGAGATTTGAATTACTTAAAAATTGAGACATTTTAACTAATACTCAAAGAAAAATCTAATCGGTTTTACAACTGATTAAGAAAAACTTTAAAGAAATTTTATTTGTTCTTACGGTGATTTGTGAACACGTATCGATGATTCATATACTGTATGAATCATTAATACGACTCGATCCCAGTCTCATCGCAAATCGTTGTAACGAACGTATAAAATTATTGTTAAATATGGCTTTCTAATCTCCTTCCCTCTTTTCCTCTAAATTCATCAGTTTTTTGAATAACAGAACAAACAAAAAAAAGCTCGAACGCCTCGATTCGATGATAAGTGATTCGTGTTTCTCACAAATCACTTCTAATTGAAATCTCATTTTCAAGCTTTTTTTTTAATCATATTTATTTAACGATAAAAATATATTTATTTTATATAATATAAATAATAATAATAAATAAAAATAAAATAAAAAAAATAAATACTAAAATTATCTAAAGTAAAAGTCAAGAGTATTCCGATGAATAACTTTCTCATCTTTTTCAATAATCTCATCCTTAAAAGAACCTATTTTAGATAACTTATCTGCCTGTTCATTACCGTAATTACCTTGATGACCATGCACATGAGTTAATTTAACCGATCCTATTCTACTGTCAATAAGTTTTTTTAATTTTCTAATTAAATCCTGATTTCTCACTGGTTTGTTATTACTCGTCATATAACCGTTTTTTTCCCATTTTTCAATCCATTCTCTGATAATATTAATTACATGTAAACTGTCAGTGAAAATTTCTAATGATTTTTTTTTGTTTTCACAACTTTCAATCGCTCTAATAACAGCATAAATTTCAGCACGGTTGTTTGTTTGTTGTTCACCAGAGAGTCGTTCAGACAAATTTCTCAGATCTTTATCTCCATAAAACACACCAATCCCAGCTTTAGCTTCTTTAGTTCCATTACCTAAACAAAAACTATTAGTCTAGATCTGAATCTTGTTTTTATCTAAAACTACAGTTTCTTTTTTATCATTAATAAAATTTTCAGCATCAGTTTTAAGAGAAAACCTTTGGTATTTAGCATCAGAAAATCCTTTAACTTGCGATTCATATTCTTTCCAAGTTAAATAGATTCCTGGTTTTCTACCTTTACGAACAGCATAATATCCTGGTTTTGTTTTTGGCATCTAAAAAAAAATGAAATCGTCGTTAGTCAGTCAGTCGACTGATCAGCCACAAAGTGAGAGTTAGTATAATGTGAAGAAAGTGAATTCCTAAACAAGATACGGTTGGAGCCCTCTCACCTTAAAGAAAAAATAATAAAAAATTGCGCAAAGAAAGATCCAATTGGTCTTTGACTGATTAGATGATTGTTTATTGGGATTGAGAAAAATTACAAAGATAGATGTGAAACAGACTACTGATAGACAAAGGGAGAAGGCTTTCGCAAGTTCGATCAAACAGAAAGATAGGTTTGAACCGATCTCTAACGAAATAGTTAATTCTATTATAAAAAAAACAAAAAAATGATTTTTCTGGGGTTTATATAGATTTTAATAAATAAAAAAAGGAACTAAATACAGAAGGTGTGATCTTCGAGATTTAATAAATAA